CACTGTTGTATGCATTTTACAAGTATTAACCCTATGAGATATTTCTATCCAAATTTTATAGATGAGGAAACTGAAACACAAGTTAAGTGGCTTTCCCATGATTGCACAGAATTCGAACCTAGACAGTCTGGCTCCAGAACCCGCAGTCGGTCCTGAGAATCAAGAGCTACCTCTACTACACCAGTGGCAAGTGTCAGAAACCTAATTTAAACTAAGTAAGAACGGAAACTTATTAACTCATGTAAATAAGTTGTATGAAGAGAGGGGTAGTGTTTTCAGAGATAACAGGATTAAGGGACTTGAATTCACTGTTTCTGACTCTTGTCTAAGTTCCCAGGTCTAGATGTTGGCCTTATTATCAAAGCTCCTCCAAGTGGCAAGATATACGGCCCCAGAAACGCTAGGGTAAAAACCCTACATGCTATAATTCAAAGAGAAGGAGCGTGTAACAACAACGAGATACCACTAAACACCTATGAGAATAACTAAAATCCACAACATTGACAACCATCAAATGCTGGGCACAGATGTGGAACAAGAACTCTCATTCACTACTGGTGGGAATGCAAAATAGTACAGCCATTTGGGAAGACCGTTTGGCAGTTTCTTATAAAACTAAACATACCTTTACCATATGACCCAGCAATCACATCCCTTGGTATTTACTCAAATGAGTTGAAAACATGACCACACAAAAACCTGCACACACGTTTATAGCAGCTGTATTCATAATTGCTAAAATTTGGAAGCAACCAAGATGTCCTTCAATAGGTGAATGGATAAATAAACTGTGGTATATCCATACAATTAAATACTATTCAGTGCTAAAAAGAAATGAGCTATCTAAATCAACAGTCAGCAAACTACAGCCCACGGGCCAAATCTGGCCCCCTGCTTGTTTTGCAAATAAAGTTTTATTGAAACAGAGCCATAAAAAATATAAAAAGAAATGAGCTATGAAACCAGAAATTATATGGAGGAAACTTAAATGCATACTGCTAAGTGAAAGAAGCCAATCTGAAATGGCTGCATTCTGTATGATTCCAACTACGTAACGTTCTGGAAAAGGCAAAATGCTCTCTCTCCTAGCTTCGTGAAATAAATCCAGAGAATAACTCTGACTGCCTCACTGATGGTCATATGCCCACCCCTGGGACTGGGACTGTGTTCAGGAGAATGGGATATACACTGGCCAGGTTTGAGTCACATGTCCATTACTGTGGCTTGCGGTGGTGCAAGAATGCGCAGAGTTGGGTGTCCCATTTAGCAGTGTCACCGGAATCACCTGATTTAAGAGTGGAGGAAGAAGCACTCTCCAAAGGGAGGGACAGAGAGTGGTGCCGTTATCAAAAGGAGGAGGAAAGGGTGCTACACAGAATAAAAATGTAACAATGGCTACATCCTCACCTGTATTATGTATGTATTTAAGAGTTCTAAGGGGCACATATGTATGGTGATGTGTAAAAACTAGACTGTTGGCAGTGAACACAATGCAGTCTATACTGTAAGGGAAATGGAGTGATGTACACCTGAATTTTACACAATGTTGTAATCTAAAATGACCTCAACAAAATAATTTTTTTAAAGTTCTCTTTTGTTTTAAAAAGAAAAAGGACATTTATCACTTTCCAGCTTATAAAGTGTGGTACCACTGGGAAAGAAGATTGATGGAGAGAAAGTCAGCAGGAAAATAAAGGTTGAGAACAGAAAGGAAAAAGAAATAGAGAAAGGAGAGAACTGAAGGGGGGGCATTACAGGCCAAAAGACATGGCCTTTACTATCATGTATGGGCAAAATTAAATATATAAATTAAATCTCTATAAACCGGAATAATTTTATTCTTTAAACAATATTTTTTATAGACAAAGACATAACTCTGAGACCCAGTTTTAGCCAATGAGATGGAGAGGGAGTGACCTGTGTGAGACTTCCAAGAAAGTGACTGATGCCTGATCAGCTAAATCTTGCCTGTCTGCAAGGGAGACATTAGACCTAGATGCACAGCAGCCATCTGGCAAGCGTGAAGACAAAACCCACACACTAAAGATGGCAGAACAGAAAGACGGAAGGAAGCTGTGTCCCTAATGGCATCGTAGAAGCAACCTTACCCGCCCTGGACTTCCTACCTCCGGACTTCTCGTATGAGAAAAAGGCCCAAAACCTATTTGGCCAAGCCACTGTAGTTAGGTTTCTATTACACTGACATCTTAAATGATCCAAACAGCTAACGTCACTTTGTCACTATCTGTAGAAGTACAAGGTGTAGATTTGTATTAAAAACACAAAACCCTCTTACCGTTTTCCACCTAAGACCAACTGTATGTATTTAAGATGGCTGATTAAGGGGGCACTGAGTGGCTGTGGGAAGCTATCTATTTGGTATAAGAACTGAAACTAAGATTTTGACTAAATCAAAAACATTCTCAACCAAATGACTAAATGAGTTAAACTTTATCCCAGTTTCTGATTTTTATAAAATTATATGTAATAGCACAGCTTTATTTCGAAAGAGGCATGACTGCTTTCCATGAATTCCTACTATTTATTCTCATTTAATCCTTAATATATAGTCAGTGAACTTTTAGCAGTAACAAGTACCATATCTTTCTCATTAACCTTTTATTTTTAACTTAGTTTTACAACAAAGAAACAGAAAAGAAGTAGATCATTAAAAAAATACCATTGCTGTCAATTTAAAATTTTAAATGAGGTTCTTATTAAACAAAGCATTAACACTATATCTTATAATTACATCTTTACTTCTATATACAAGAACGGTGTGCAAAGTGCTTTTCAAACTATAAAATAAGACTTTGGAACAGGATACAAATGGTTATTCCCAGGAATTAGTTAACCCCGACTGCTTGTAATGAATCATAAATGCTTACATTCTTAATTTGCATTTTATTTACATCCTAAGAGAAAAGCCACCATTTCCTGATACCAGAGTGATATCTAATTTTTGAAAATAATCCCTGATCCACAGGTCTAAACTTTACTTTTACGAATAATTCAGTTACTTGCTTCATTTTTTTCCTAAATAAATAGAGGACAGTTTTTTAAAAGCAAATATTAGTAGATCCCTTTAGACAGACACATTTTAATCAAGATGGGATCAAAAAATAAAAAACATCACGTTACATGAAAGGAAAAAAATACAGAAAAAAGAGTCTTGGGAAAAGCCAATTGTATTCTTACACTTTGTTCTTCAGCCAAAGAAAGACCCATGCTCTATACTAGGAATAGATTACCTTCTCTCTTCTTGAAAACTCTGAACACATGATGCTAAATCCAACATCATACATACCAAGAATGCTTAAAAATTATTTGCTACTAAACCTTTGAATCAGAAAAATCTTTAAAGTACAAGGTACATCTAAATAAGCAGGGAGTTTTGGAAGATATACAGGAAGAATAATCCCAAACGAAGCCTTCAAGGATCTAAATTACAGTCGTCGTCTTCATCTAAACACAGGAGGTGGGGCAGAGAGACACACACTGACATTAGCTGGGGATGCCCTCTTCATACAGAAGCATATGGCCTGCTGGCTTGCAAACCCTTCCAATCCCCCTGTGAAACAGCTTCATCTCAGATATTATACACCGAAGGAGAAACTGAGGCACTAAGAGGTTAAGAGTCCAGGCTGTGTAGTTTACCAGTTGCAGAAAAGTGATTTTCATGTGTTTCCTTTTTGCCGTTTGTAAAAACAGTATAAATAAGTTTTCATTTTATATTTCAAAGCACCCTATGAAGCAGAAACAAGATATCCTCAGTTAAAGAGAAATGATTACAAAGGAATAAATGGATATGACTGAATAAAAATCTTATTAATGATCTGCAGGCTCAAAATACATTTCAAACCTACTTTAAGCCCATGTGTCATCATTTCCATCAGCAGGTTATGTCTATTCTGTGAATCACTTGTAAAAACTAAGCCTAGTACACAGGACTCTGCTTTGTAACGAAGATGCCTGAACAGTATGTCTGCGCTGTGCGTGTCCAAGATCACGGACCGCCCACCAAGAGCACGTGGAGACTTTTCTTCCCGCAGTCTTCTACTCCTTGGCATGGCAATGCAGTGACTAAGATGTAAAGTCCATTTAACCTCATTTGAAATTCACTCCTGGTTTGCATTCTTGCTCATATTTAATTTAGAAAATTAAAAATACCCGGTTATAAATCTGATCTCATTATTACAACAGTAGCTTGGAAAAGCTGCTTATATTTCTCTATGGGAGATAATCAGGTAAACAGGTTACCAAACAATAATTAATAATTTAATGTCCTTCGAGTTCAAGGGTAAATCTATGTATGCCATTTATAACCTAGTTGAGATTGATTATTCAAGTATTAACAATATTAGTCCTTAAAATGTTATCATTTGTGTAGTGCAAAATATATATATGTATATATGTACACAAACCAAACTACTGGACAACAGAAAGAAGTGTAATCATCACAAACTAAGATTTTCTCGTGAGCTCCACAATCCATTCCATTCCGAGGTCATCAGGCCCAGAAGTCTTCTTAAGTAAAACACCATTTCTTCAGTTCAGTTTTCTTTAAAAAGAAAGTAAAAACCAATTTCCTATGAATATAAATGCAACCTGAATATGAAACACATCCATACCAAGAATTCCCTGAAGGATAACATAACGATAATATTTAAATTCAAAATAAAACCATAAAATTACAAATGATCCTTCTCTGAACTTACTTCATGTGACTTATAGCTTGACACAAAAGATCCGATTGTGAGTGTTCACATTACCAAACAGTTTCCAATAAATAAAGTGTACATTTCTCCTCTCCTAGCTTGTAGATTCTCATCCTTTTCTAGTTGGCTATTATACCATTCAGATTCTTGCAAATTATTTCACAATTTTATCAAAATGGAAACGTGAAACAAAAAGCTTAATAAAACTACAAAAGGCTGATAGATATACAACCAGGACTATTCATTTAATCAACAAATATTATGTTATCTGTTACTTTCCAGGCACTGGGGATTCAAACATAAACGAGGCAGGCGCTCAGCCCTCAAAAGAGCTCTCAGTGTAGTGGAGGCAGGGTGGGCCGACATACAAACCAACAACCCAGGTATGTATAATGTGTCTGTTTTAACGACAGCAGAGTGAATTAGCTATTAGAGAAGGGTGGGTTTGTCAGCCAAGACACAACAATCACATCTGATCTGAGTTCTGGCAGAGGTCTTACAGCTGTAAAATCTCCACCCTCCCCAGCACTCAAGATGCCACAATGCCTGAAACTCTCTCACTACAGGTTCATGCCTCTCCTCTGTAGAAATGCTCTTATGCAACCCCCTCGGCAGGAGTGACATTTTACGTAATCTGATCAATTTTCACATTACAGAAGATCCGTCACGGCATGAAGAAAAGAGGCCCCTGGAGGAACAGCATTGTGGGTGGTTCTAAAGACCAAGTGCCAGCCAGGTTTAGCAGAAATGTTAGCTGGGAGGTGCTGAACAGTTAGCAACACTTACCAAGGACCCTCGTGACACAGATTACTATACAAGGTCCTTGGCAGATTTACCAAAAAAGCCCACAACTTGGTTTATCAACTCCCAATCTTCTAGCTACCGTAACAGGGAAACACAGTAGACATAAATGCCTATCACTATCTTCAGAACTTGAGAATGTTTTTCAGGCTCTTAATGAGATCTTTTTCTCCTTTTTTTTTTTTTAAATTAACTTGCAAAATGTAGGGTGTGGTGTGATAAGACGAGAAAAGTTACAAGAAACAGCAGATAAAGGACCAGGAATAAACATTCTGCCTTTCCCCTGCCTAGCCATTAAACTCTCTGCTCTGGCTGCACTGCTCAGAATCTTTCCCCTCCTCAGAAGCCTGGGCCTGACATTTTGGGCCAGTGCCATCTTCCCCAGTCTCCATCTGAAGAATGTTTCTCCCAAGATCCTCCCCACCCTACCCAGTTTTTTGTTTTTTTTTTTTGAGGAAGATTAGCCGTGAGCTAACTGCTGCCAATCTTCCTCTTTTTTCTGAGGAAGACTGGCCCTGAGCTAACCTCCATGCCCATCTCCCTCTACTTTATATGTGGGACGCCTACCACAGCATAGCTTCATGAGCGGTGCCATGTCCGCACCCAGGATCTGAATCGGCGAACCCCAGGCCGCCAAAGCGGAATGTGCGAACTTAACTGCTGTGCCACCAGGCCCGCCCCCCTACCCAGTTTTTATTGATTACTCTCTAATGAAAGCTCAGTGTTTCCAAGGAAACTACGTGACAGCAAATTTATGAATCTGGGCAGGGTGATAAAGAAAAGTGGTTTGGGACATCCTTTCCTTCAAAGTGACAGATTAAGAGTAGTCTTTTAGACTGAACGGGTCTGCTCCAGCATTGAACTCCTGGATCACTCTAATAGTAGCATTATCAGGGTAAGTAATGGGAGAGGTGGTACCACCGGAGGCTGTTCAGGCCTATTTTTGAACAGGTCTGCAGGTGTTGCTCTCTGCAGAGTTTCACACAAAGAATGTTCTTCTTATCCACTACAGAGCAATGTGAGAAATCTCTTGTTACTTTTATATTTACACTCTTCTATACTAGAAAAAAAAAAAATCAAGCAGTGGACCTTAAGTACTACTTTTAATGTTAAAAAAAATTTTTTTAAGCTTACCACAGATGGCCACTTATTTTACCTACATATAAGACTATCTCAGTGTGTCTGTGTCCAGATTGTATTTATTAAATAAAATAGAGGCTTTTCCAAGTCATATGGTACCTCAGTCTGCCATCCTGCCAAGAGTGGGCATTCAGTCATAAACTCAGCACATATTTACTGAAATCCTATGACATGCCAGACACTGTAAGAGGGGGTGAGGTATAGGATGGTCCCTATTGTAAGAAGGGTATACCCTCTCCAGCCCACACTTTTCCCATCCCAATAGATTTCTTTATCTTTCTCTTCATCTCTAACACAGATCTGTCTCCCCTACACCACACACTGCTTTCTAAATCTTCATTCCTGTAACTATCAGATTAAGAACTGTTAAACACTGCCAGATTAAAAGAGGCCTAAATCCCCTCAGGGCCAAACATGGCTCTATCGCCAATCCCAGTTAATTTGTTACATATATAAATAAAAACACTGTATCTCATCAAAATGCAGTTGTGCAGTGCTAAATAATTTGCCATTTGGAAGGACTAACATACAGTGGAAAACCTGACAAAGGGTCCATAATAACAAAGTAGAAAATTAAAATAGGGAAGAGTTTCTCTATTCAGAGACACCTGGGAACAAGTGAAAGGGGCACTTAGGAGAAACGGTGTGTACTTCTACTAGTAAGGAACACTTTTTTTTTTTTTAAGATTTTTTTTTTTTCCTTTTTCTCCCCAAAGCCCCCCGGTACATAGTTGTATATTCTTCGTTGTGGGTCCTTCTAGTTGTGGTATGTGGGATGCTGCTTCAGCGTGGCCTGATAAGCAGTGCCATGTCCGCGCCCAGGATTCGAACCAACGAAACACTGGGCCGATTGCAGCAGAGCGTGCGAACCTAACCACTCGGCCACAGGGCCAGCCCCGTAGTAAGGAACACTTTTAAAAACCATTTTAGAAAACTGCAATTTTCAGTGACTGCTAAAGCAAAGTGTAGTTTGTTTTTTCAGTCTTTACTGAAGTGACAAGCTGCTTCAACCTTAAGTAGAAAATAAATTATTAACCAAAGCTTTAGCCTTTTTGCCCTAGGCCAAATGTGTCTACTCTCCAACCCCCAACTTCCTACAAGTAAACACGAGAAGAAACTTTGAAATGCACTGCAACATGTGTCAACACCTACCTTGGGTGCCACTGTTCCCTTGGCTTAAATCTAGCATTACTACGTATTAAAAAAAGGTTTGGTTGTTTTTCCCTCCTGTTATCAGGGAAACCTGAATTGAAACCACTGTACAGCACTAAACCCAACCATCATAGGAGAAAAGTAAGATGTGTGAAAGAAGAAAAGAAAGGACTTAAAGTCCGTATCTTTAAAAGCTGAAACGATACACAAATGGATTAGAAAGGGGGTAAATAATGCTAAGAAAGCAATTTATGATTCTGAAATCCTACTGAAGTGTTTTCAAGTGGGAAGGTGTATTCCAAGAACATTAATGTACCAGAAAACTTATTTAGTTCACTATGAACGTAAATCAAACTGTCTTAACATAATCGGAGAACAAGGAAGACTGAAACATTCACCCAGTGTCACCAGCATTTCAGTTTCTCTCCTGTAAAGTATTCTAATTGGAGCACTTACACTAATGTGCTTTGTATCCTTTTTATACGAGAAAAGGGGACATGTTTGGTTTTGCTTTTGTTATCAAGTGTAGTAAGTAGAAACTTGGGTTCTTTGGTACTGGAACAACATACCCATAATTATTTAAACTTCTAGATTTTTAAAAATGTGTCTTACTGCACATATTTAAGAGAGTGCTCAAAGTCTTCTTATTAACTACCCTATTTCTTTTCTCCATTCGTCAGAACTTAATGGGAAATGGTGACTAAATACAGAAAACATAATCATGAGGCCACCGGTGAGGTAAACAACTGTCTATCTGTCCATCCATGGAAAGTCAGTCAGTTTACATAGTGTCCAAAACAATGCTTTACGGATTTTCTTGAACCCAAGAGTTTTGGCCTCAGGCTATTCCTAACCTAGTCAATCTCAGAGCACTTTCAAGGATTCCAATCTATTATTTTCAGACTTACTCGAGTTATCTCCTGGCATCCCAAATTGAAATTCTGGCCCCCAAATTAGAATAGTCCCTATTTCTAGAGACAGTCAACCACTAGAGTGAAAATGTCCTAAACGTCCATACCTATATTTCAAAGGTATAGGGAACACAAAGGCACTGTTTACCTACCCATTGTCCTTTACTACTAGCAAAGGGCCTAAAATAAACACTGGACTTTAAGAACACTGTTTCCTCAGAAGCCACAAAACTTAAGCCTGTAATCATTTTCTTTTTGTTGCCCAAATCAAAGGTGTACGAATCCATCAGATGCTCTCAAGTAAAAATGTTTTAAGTCTAACAAGTACCTAGAAATCCACCAGATATCATTTCCAAGGCAGTTTCAGTCTCAGGATCAGTACAGAACGTTCAGCGTGACGATCTATCTATAAAACAATCGGTCCCCTTAACTGCTGCGGAAGGCTCTGTCTGCTCAGATCACGAGTCTAAACACCACTCCAACCTGTAAAGCCAGCGTTACCTTCTCCTTCTTTGATAATAGAGATGCACCAACCACTGGGCAATGAACGGCCAGATGATAGCAAAAGCCAGTGTACCCGGAGACATCTCAAAGGGCCACCAAGATGGTCTCTGAGAAAATAAAATACGCTGGTCACCCAGCTATTACAAATTGCATGTGTAAACTTAAAAACACACCTAATTCATAACTTTGAAAATATATAACTAATAACACATCTCACTCCTGGCTAAAGGGAGGGAGACAGTCTATATTGCAAAGCATAATTCAGTAAGTAGATTCTGAGGAGTACTTCAGACTTAAACAAACACAAAACAAATATATTTTTAACTTCAAAGTTCTAAAGGGTATATTTCATTTGGAATACTTTAAAGACCTCATATTCTAAGTTTACTGTAACTTATTTGAAACCCTGGCACTTAGATTTAAGAAAAGAATTTCTTACCTGTGAAGGGGGCTGTTTCCTAGTTTGTAATGTTGAAGATTTTGCCTAGAAATATAAATGAAAGCAATTTAGCTCTGACAAAATGAAAAAATACATATACTAATTTTTCTATTTCCTATTTTTTAAAAAAAGGCTGAAATTAACATTAGTTTATTCTGTATTTTTCTACTAACTATACTTTGACTATACTGAAATATATATAATATACAGTATGAAATATATATAATATACAGTATAATATACAATAATATACAGTATGGACTGACCAAATGACAAGGTTCCTAAAACTTCCAGCCAAATAAGTATCTTTGACAGTTTATATTTTAGAGTCCAAATAATAAAAAATTATCAAAATAAAACCTCAAATTGATCTGAACCATTACTTCTTTTATATTCCTATTAAATTGCCTACTCAACTTTTCTTATTAACTCCTTATTTCCATACAAACTAACAATTTACAAACACATTTAAGAACTGCAGCCTTGATTATTAAAATTGTAACAATTATGTAAACAATATCCAAAGATCTGTTTTGGAAATTCATGGTAAGACAGAGCAGAGGAGGTATACAATAGCTATGAGAAATGAACCACGACTGTTGTAGGTTTTTATTTTTTTATTTTACTTTTTTCCAGCTTTACTGAGGTATAATTGACAAAATTGATATATGTGAAGTGTACAACATGATGATTTCTGTATATATTGTGAAATGATGGCCATCATCAAGTTAACACATCCCTCACTTCACACAGTTACCTCTGTGTTTTGTTTTTTCTGTGGTGAGTACTGTGAGTTTTTAAATGAAAAGTATAAACTAAGCAGAAAAATTTCAAACCAATTAAGGAAACTTACATTCTTATTTGGCTCATCCCACACACAAG